TTATATCACAAAGTTAGAAGACAGACTCTAAAGATAAAACTTTAAATTTCAAAAATGTCAAGACCACACTGTTTTATAACCTTTCATTTTGTATGTGGTTTTCAATGGGTATAAAAATACTCAGTGGGTGTGGGGGTGGTTTCTCATGTTTCGGAAACGGTGAGAATATGAGATGCGGAGCTTTGGGTTCTGGGATGAGAGCTATAATTGCTAACTCTGATTCTTTCCCGGGATTGGCTCTTGGGTGGACATCTGTATCTAAAATCCCAGACGTCCAGAATCCAGGGCGACAAAGCATTCCCCCCACACCCCGGCGACATGAAAGGAATCACTGTGGTGGAGAAGAGAGGGATGTGGGGCGGTGGTTCTCCCTCGGTCTGTCTCCCTCACGCTGTTCCCAAGTGTCGCAGACAGTGGTGCCGCAGCAGAAGGGAGGCCGGTGGCTTCTCCTAGCCTGACACAGCAGCCACCCCACAGCTGCGATGGAAAGTTCTAAATATAACCCAGCACTCATTCAGATCCTCCTCCCCCAAGTCTTGGCGGATGTGGTAAACACCCTAAAAATACCTGCCATCTGAACCTTTGAGGTATCTAAAGAGGTACGAGAACCAGGGCCGGAAGCAGCGCGGCGTTGGCAGGAGGCTCGCCCGGCCAGCAGGGCCGCTGCCCACGGGGTCTGCCCCCGGAGCTGCTGGGGGAGCCGCCTACCGGGCCGTCCTGTCCAAGGATAGGTGCCTACTCTGGAGTCTCATGTTCACTGTTGGCAGGTTCCGAGGAAACTATTCGTGGACTGGACATCTGCTCTCTGTCCCGTTGACCACAAATCCGCAGCCGCCACCATGGTATTCAGGCAGCGTGTTGGGTTTTAGTCAGAATTTTAGAGCTGGTTTGACTTTAGACATTCTGTTATTTATAAAACCATTAAAACCCATTGAAATTCCTATATTTATGGAGTCACATTTCTGTGTATATGTAGTTAGTGACCATAGAAATTTGAAAATGGGATCTAGTCCTTGATTATTAAAAGAAATCACTCATGATTATATAACATAAAAATAGGAGGGTAACAAAAACCAATCTTTTAAAAACATTGACTAAGTGATCCTGTGCATTTTTTACTAAAAGTGGAACTTTGGGGCTCACTTTCTCACCCAGACATCGGTACTTTGAATATACAGTTCAGCAGCAACACAGCCGAACACCGGGAGTCACGTCTTCGAGGAGGAGGCTTCCCGTGTCTCGTAATCACAAACCGTAACCGTGGTGTTGCACTTGAAGGACTTGAAGGACTGAAAGCAGCCGATGTCGTTTCCCGAGAAGTTTCACAACTTATCTCCGACACCCGTGGGGTGCATTCCGAACGTGGGGGCCGTTACGGCCGCACCACCCCGAGCGCGCCGGCTCTCGGAAGCTAAGCAGGGCTGGGCTGGTCAGCACCCGGGTGGGAGCCGTGCAGGCGGTCGGTGCCGTTTTACCCACGAGCATCAGTCGCCTGACTTCGAAGTGCGTGGCTACCTTAGCCCAGTCTCCGTCAGTAAACTCTGCGCGGGTCTGGCAAGTGCAGAGCCTGTGCCGGGAGCTGCGCAGTGGGGCGCAAAGAAGCCTCGGGAAACCTGTACAGCTAGTAGGGGAGATGGGACCCGCTCACGTGCTGAGAAATCCTAAACGTGCTGCACTTACAGCGGTTACAGCACTGTCATAAATATAACGGGTCGTGTCCTCCACCGTGCGCTTTTTGAAGCTCTTTTATGTCTCTGAAAGAGCCTTATATTTGATTATTTATTTACTGTGAGTTGAAAATACATGGAAAGCTTTTCTTGAGCAATAGAAGCTGTCAAAATGGTTGGAGTTTTTTGTGTGTGTGTCACTTAATGCGTGTCTGAAATAGGCACCTGTGGAAGATGACGTTTCCCTGGACCAGTACACGTGTAACAAGGAGTGAAGTGCCCTGGGCGGCAGCTGCTTTGGGAGCCGGTGACTTTGTGGAGAGAGCGTGACCGTGGGGTCATTCGTGCCGTCGGCTGTGCAGAAGCCACGGAGGCCGTGGGAGCTGGGGGCTTCTCCTTTCCCGGCGTGTGGAGAGGACAGGAAGGGGGAGGGACCGTGGGTGATGAGTGACGCCCAGGGGGCGTAGTGCGTAGAATCTCAAACGTTTCCCCTCTGAAATTCCAGAATGAAGAGCTACGGAACTTGTCACTCTCTGGCCATGTTGGATTTGACAGTCTTCCCGACCAACTGGTCAACAAGTCTACTTCTCAAGGATTCTGTTTCAACATCCTGTGTGTTGGTAAGTGATTCATCACCTGCTTCCTGTGTGTTGGTAAGTGATTCATCACCTGCTGCCCGGCAGGGACTGTGGCACTTCGATATTGGCAGGTGACTGTCAGAGGGGCAAGTTTCAGTGAAATAAGGAGAATTATACTTTTACTCTTTTCTTCACTGGTAAAGCCACGCAAAACACCCGCTTTACGCCTGCCACATGCTTACAAAGATTGAGAATTGTGTTTGAGTAAAGGCTTTGTAAATTTTGTGGTGTTACTCAAATTATTATTATTTCAGTTAAACAGTCAAGCAACTGGTCAGTTTAATATTGTTATTAAAACGCTTATTTTAATGTTTGGCAAGGAGAGAGACTTAGACCCTAAGTAGACTACAGGAAGTTGAGAGGAGCTGAGATATACATAATAAGAACATTTAAAAGCCTTTTAAGAATTTGTTTCCAGGGTCTCTGACTCTAGTGCAGTAATAATCTCCACTGAAGTCTTCTTAAAGATATGCCACCTAGAATAAGTGAAATCTAAAACCACTCTAACTACTTTAATAAATTTATAATGTTACAAACTTTTGCTTTGGGTACAAAAGACAATTTAAAATTTTATTTTATATTTGAAGTAAATTTTCTGTGTGCACTATTGAGTTAACCTTCTGTCTTTAAGTTGGGATCTAAAATTGACCTTAGTTTATTTCTGGTAAACAAACGCAAAAGGCCAAGGAGATTCAATGGACTTTTATCCCCAGTATCTTTTATTCATATCCCTTAAACATACTTTAGACTAGGCCTCTGCCTTGGTCTTTTCTTTGTCTCTCTGGCCATGTCCTTTTTAAACTAAGAAGAGGAAGATGGAAAAGAAGGGGGAAAAGAAGAAAATCGAAATACGAATGTCCTGTTAGTTGGAAGGAGAAATGTCTGTGCAGCGACGTGGCCGGCCCTTTGCCCGCCCCGTCGCGCCTGCTGAGCGGCTGAGCGGCAGTGGAGCGGTTTGGGCTGCCTTGTGCTGCTGCTGCCGTCCTCGGGCCACATCCTTCCGAGACTCGCTTTGAGACAGACCAGCGACTTCCGTGTGTAGCCAAGCGGACTGTCCTTCCCCCAAGTGTGGCACAACGTGTCAGACTTACTTTATGAAGTGAATTCAGAAAGGTTGGGTTCGGTGTGAGAACCACCGTTTGCGTATTTGTCATGGGAGTGGGGAGAGCACATACTTTCCTTTTTCAAATGCTTCTCGAGGACTGGTGCGTGCGGCCTCTGTGCCGGGCGTCATCCGCAGAAAGCTGAAACTGGCTGGCACGCTAGGCCAGCTTGCTCCCTGGCATTGCGTCTTCAGCCCCCGGCAGGAGAGTGACTGCACAGAAGTGGGACCGAAGCAGCCAACTCTCATGCTGTCTCCTTTTCTGTGCATGAAGCCTTTTAAAATTCAGCAGGGGACCTCCTGAACGGCAGCTAGTTCCACACAGTGGCATGAACGAGTCGTCTTTTCTCTCAGGGTGAATGCTCAGTGCGGAGCAGGCGGTTCTTCATTGGCATAGCAATTTGTTGGCAATTTGTTGGTTTGCTATTGAAAAGTATGCAGAATTGTAATCCTGGGCAATTACTATTCCGGCTTCGCTTCTGTGCCTCCTCGGCCCTGTCTCCAAGACCAGCTTCAAGAATATATCTGTGAGCTGAGGCCGGCTCCCGCTAACCGGGAAGGCCTCCCCGTGGGGTGCGGGGCTCTGCGCGCCCGGGGCTGGCTCCCGTGGGAGAGAGCGCAGTCCCCCGCCGGCTGGAAGTCCTCCCGGGCCGCACCGACGCTGCCTGGCTGGTAAAGCGGCGCTGTTCTGGCTGTCCTGGGTGGTGGCAGCAGCTGGGATTCTTGGATGTTTGTTCTGGTTCCGCTCTTGAACATGTGTAAAAGTAGTTTTCAAACTAATTAACATAGTATGTGCTTCTTGTCTAAAACATTATAAAATCCCTTTCTTTCAACTCCCGACCCCATTTCCATTTCACAGAGAGACAACACAGTCAGATCCTTCTAGAAAGTCTCTATTTAATACGTCTTTTCATATTAGGAAATTATTTTTGGTGGCCTAAAACAGCACCGCTGTGTGGCTTCACAGCTCTGTTGGCAGAAGTCCAACGAGAGGCTGCGGGGCTGCCTGTGTTCTGGGAACTCTGGGGAGACGGCGTTTCCTTGTCCTTCCAGCTTCTTGCGGCCGCCCGCATTCCTTGGCTCGCGGGCCCTTTTCTCCATCTGCAAGGCCAGCAGCATTGCATTGCTCTCCAGCTGTTCTTGTGTTCGGAGATTTTCCACAGAGAAGTGCAGAAATGCAGTTTAAACACAGTTAAGACTCTGCCCCACACCCCGACACACACCAGGAAGGTGACGTGGTGCAATGAAGAACAGCGGCCCCAGGGGTGCACCGAGCCCTGTCAGGGCTCTGTCTCTGGTTCTCCATCTGGCTTGCTTCTGCTTGGCTTCCCGGGCTGTCTTGCGCACGGTGGCAGTCTGCCCGCCAGCAACATGGCCAGCTTAGCGACCCCAGAGGAAAGAACAAGCTGATCCCGACTCGTGTCCCTGAACAGGTGCAGGGTCTCCGATTGACCAGGACTGGGTCACTGCCCAGCCTGGGTGGGAGATGGGGCCAACCCACTCCAAAACACAGGAGGTTCCCTATAGGAACAGAGACATTATCAGAAAGGAGACTGGGCGTGGGACACGCAGGACACATGAAAACAGCTCTCACGATTACCTAGGTGCTTTATTGTTTTGCTTTTACACAAATGAGATCATGCTGTTCATATTCTCCTGCATTTTCTTGTTTCACTCCACGACAAGTCCTGGATGCCGTTCATCGCCAGTCTGTCTGGCTGTCCGGGTTCTTTCCTACGACCCTTCGGAGGCCAACATCAGCTCTTCGGGAGATGGGGTGTCAGCATGAAGTAGTAACTTATCCTCAGAGTGTAGAAAACATCAAATCCTTTTACTGCAAATATTTCGCAGCAAAATATCTGAATAAGAGAAAACTCCCACTGTCAGTGCTCCATCTAGTTTTAAAGTAAGAGTATATAAAAAACATTGTAGCCAATCAAAATATGTGGACGGTCACACAGAGGAGGTGTCATGTTTAACTTAAAAGCATCCCTGTTCATTTTTCCCCTTGTCATCCTACTGCCCATTGGTATGTTTTATACCATATGGTGTTTATAGCATGTGTGTGGTGTTTATAGCATGATTTTATTTTCTTGTGATAAATATGGAAGGGAATTGAGGATTTAGAAAAAAGTTAAGATCCCAGTAAGGAAAATTTTTATCAAAAAGGTCTTAGAATTGTAATTTTGTTTTGTGGCAAGAGCCTGCAGGTTGAAAGCAGGAAAGAAATCAGGGCAGAAAATGATCCTGTCATGAGCTCAGTTTGGTTTTAGAGATACTGAAACCCACCTCTGTTGGTCCTGGGAACGAATGTATATAGAAAGAGGGAGCATACTTGTCACTCTACTGCAAAGGGAATTCTGGGCTACGTCAGATGACAGAGTGTCCAGGAGTTGGTCACCCCCCCTCTGTCTTGCCTACAGCACACGAAATCACTCCCAGAGCTACACTTTAGTTTAAATAAAGCCTTTTACGTTTTACCCATGCTGTGTTTTTCTAGAGAATCTAAATTAGATCTAAATTAGTATTCAGCCTTTTTTTTAATCATTTTAAATTTATGTATCTTATTCATTTTCCGAAACGACACTAACTGCATGAGAAACCTCACCAACCTTGATCCAGCTGTGAGTCCGTTCTTTGAAGGTACAAAGATGCATAAGATACTGTAACATCTCCGCTTTCGAAGAGGACCCAGTTCAACAGGAGAGTCAAAGTAAATTATTAATACATTTTTAAAATTGATTTTTTTTAAACCATTCAAACTCAATTGTTTTGTGGGGATGAGAGAAGAAGAATAGAAAACAGACAAGGTTAAGGCCATTTGAGCCAAGGCTGCAGTGTCAACATAAACTGTGAAATTTTACAATCACATCTTAAACATTTTTATTACATCTTGTTTTTCCAGGACAGGATGTGATGTGGCTTCCAGGGTAAAATGAATAAAGATAAAATTGAGGCCGGGCGCGGTGGCTCACGCCTGTAATCCTAGCACTCTGGGAGGCTGAGGCAGGTGGATTGTTTGAGCTCAGGAGTTCGAGACCAGCCTGAGCAAGAGTGAAGACCCCGCCTCTACTAAAAATAGAAAGAAATTAATCGGAGGACTAAAAATATATAGAAAAAATTAGCCAGGCATGGTGGCGCATGTCTGTAGTCCCAGCTACTCGGGAGGCTGAGGCAGAAGGATCGCTTGAGCCCAGGAATTTGAGGTTGCTGTGAGTGAGGCTGACACCACGGCACTCACTCTAGCCCGGGCAAAAGAGTGAGACTCTGTCTCAAAAAAAAAAAAAAAAAAGATAAAATTGACCCCAGAAAATGAGGTGAAGCCAGGGATAAGGTCAGAACTTGAAGCCTGCAATCGGACTTGCCTGGAGTAACTAATTGGGGAGCAACACCTTTGTCTCTCAGCTCGGTGGTCAGAACATGGAGGGAGTTCATTGGTTCATTTAGCAAATATTTATTGAGCACATGGTATATGTGAAACACAAGTTAAAAATTCAGTATGACGGATTTGCCTGTAGTATTCAGTACAGTCACACACTGCGCAGGTTTGTTTGTAGCTGGGAGCAGCAGGCTGTACCATGCAGCCCAGGTGTGTAGGGCATTACACCACCCAGGTTTGTGTAAATACACTCCATGATGTTCATACAGTGACGAAACTGCCTGAAGATGCATTTCGCAGAACGTATCCCTGGTGCTGAGTGACACATGACTGTATTGATACCTCTTAAAGAGAATGTTCGGGTGCTCTAAGGTCAATTCAGGTAAGAAATGAAATATGTTTTGCATTTTTCTTAATTTGTGTGCTCTTCTGTTTCAGAGGTTTGAATCACCAGTGTTTTTGTGATCAAAATCCTCTTTAGAAAAACAGAACTGTTTCTTGTTTATCTCTTTAGAATACCTGTGTTCTTAGCATTAAATAAACAACTTTTAAAAAAATTTAATATGACGGATTTATAGTATCTATAAAGTAAAAACAAAATAGTTACTCCAGGTGAAATACAGTTTTACCTGGAAAAATTCCTCCCCTGGATTTTCAGAAAAGAGATGTGGTGTCTGGTGGATAGAACGGTCTGGGCACCTGGGCACCCCCTAAATCGCTGCGATGCTGGTGTTCCTTCAAGCCCTTCCTGCAGGCTGGCGTTGTGCCAGAGCCAGCTCATCACGGCGACCCCGTGAGGAGTTACACCAACACGCTTAGGTATTATGTGTACCTCTCGGATCATCTGGCTCCATCCAAGAATAAAATCTAGAATATTCAGAGGCAGGCAGATGCCCGTGCACGATTACTTATCCAAGTAGCCGGTCTTGGCAATTAGAGTAAAAGATGTGAATCACATTTGTTCAATCTACAGCTACTTTATAACTGATAACATCATCCTGGTTTGTCTTTTTCCCTGCCCACCTTAGAGCTTGTGGATTAAATAAGCCTGAGATTGGGCATCAAGGTGGGACTGCTTTGCCCTGGGACTTGGGCGTCGGGTTCACCAGCATTGGCAGGAGCAGGAAGAACAAGCCACAGTTGGCACTTCAAGAGTGGATCTCTAATTACTCTAGCAGCCGAGTGTTTGGCCAGATGAATTTACCATAGAGTAAACAACAAACTCTCAAAATCTACCAAAGCGGCAAACCTAAGTATCAATTATCACCACACTCATTTTTCTTTTCGATTAACTTTTAATAAATGCCTGCTCTGTGCCAGGCACTCTGCTAGGGAGTTTTGAACTGCATTAAAGCTAACGTTAGGCGTAGGTTTTCTGAAAATATTGTTACGGTGGTTTGGTTTGAATTGAAACCTACACCTAGTCGGCTCTCAGTTACTCAATTAGAAAGTTGTGCTCTTGTGGGTCCTCAAAGGTGTAGGCAAGGCCCTGCTTTCAGAGGTTAGAGAGAAGTCTCAAAAACTAATGCATCCAACAAACTCTAGTTCTGTAATTCCTTTTATACCAAAAGCTGCCATTTCCTGCTGAATTGCTGTTGGTGACTCACACGCTGCTGCGTTGCTGTGTCTAGTTACGGCTCTTAAAGCACAGAGTGTGGAAATGCAAAGCGAAGCACTTCGAAATTTAGAGGAACAGTGGTTTTTCTCAACCTATCGATCAACTCTGTGCTATACGGATGGCCTGGAATGCTTGTTGTTCGTAATTTCCACTTTAATGTAAATGATAATTAAAATTTTCTGCCTTTTAAAAAATGGTGTTCCTGATTCACATGTGCTCCGGTGATTCTCAGCTCAGTCAAATGAGATGGCAGTTTCCGTCCTGTCCGGGTAACCCCGAATCCTTGCCATGGAGGCTGAAGCCTTTATTGCTGCTCTTAGGGAAAGAGATGAGAGTTAAGTGGGTCACTTTCTGCTGACAGAACTTTGACGTAAGGGACGGGCATTTATAAGGTAGCTCTGCTTCCGTCCCTTTGTCCGTGTCCCCAGAATAGGTAAATCCCAAAAAGAAGTTGGCTGCGCCTGGGAACATTACTCA